TACTTCTCATATTATCATTGATTTCTTTTATATCGTTTCTTTTCGTTTCCTTTCACCTTATTTTTATTTTTCCCTTTTACATTTATCAGTGCGAATCTTTCTATTCTTTATCTTTGAATTATTTTGTTATCTTTCTTTGTTTATTATTTTTCATCTTAACTCTTATTTTCTTTTCTTCTCAGTCTTTATCTTTCTTTTTTTTCCCTTTAATGCTATCTTTTGTTTTCCTTCTCGTTTATTTTTTATTTATCTTTTCATTTCCTTTGTTTTATGTCTTACATTTTCCTTTTTACATCTTATCAGAGCGCATCTTTTCTTTATTTTTATTTTTCTGTTTCTTTTTTCTTCATTGGCAGAAACAACAGTTTGTTGATCCTACCAATCTCAGCTCCACCATGGTTGGAAAAAAAAGCCTCCTCTGCCGAAAAATAGCACAGGCATAGGCCTACTTTACTAAAACGAATGTCCCTCCTTTAAAAGAGTGATAACATTTTGATTGCGACAGTGGGGTAGTGCGAGAGGTCCATGACGAGGCGGCCGATGGCCCGACGAGGGGTCAGATTTCCCCGACGAAAGCAATGTGAGCTTGGTCGAGCTTCCACTAAAACGGTTTCGGAAGTGATCCAGGAGGCGAAGCCCTCAAAAATCTTATCAAATTAGGGGTTTTAATAGCTTATTTTAGAATCTACTAATATGGGGCGAGGGGGCTGTGGCAACATAGTCATAATTATATCGACATCAACACTATCATCGTCATTGCCATCATTATCATTATCATTCCCACCACTACCATCATCATTATCATCGTCATCATCGCCATTGTGGTTGTTGTTTTTCTTTTTCCATATTGCTTTTTTATGCATCACAGTATAGGCTATTGCAATTTTTTAATATGTAAGACTACGTGTTAGCGGGCTTGTTAGTAAATTTGACTGAATGAATAAAGTATACCTGAATGTTATATTAACATCACCATCCCCAACGATATAATCATCATCATTGTCATAATCATCATCATAATATTATCATCAAAATCATCAACATCATCATAACCACCACCATCATTATCATCATCCTCATTATCATCATCATCATTATTATAATAAAAGCACTTTCGAAAAATAATAATGAATTGTTTTTGGTACCTATCCAGGTGGCGCTTTACATATAAACATTACTCAATGGAGTTGAAAGACTACTAAGGAGACATTACAATTAATAATAAAATAATGTGAATACTACATTAAACATTTTGCATCGTTAATTCAATAATGAATAAGAATTTTGGGAAAAAGATGAGAATGTCTCTAAACAACAGCCTTATCCGAAGAATTGAAAAAATGTACTAAGTCTGCAGTGGGTCTTTTATTTTGAACAAATAAACAGCTGTCACAGAGTGGACCTTATGACGTGTTACACTCACTATAGTGCATCAGGGTAATAAATATTCATGAGTTAATGGTTGTTTGTGTTCACTGTGTTAAATCAGTATAATGAATATGCATGAGTTAATGGTTGATTTAGCATTAATCCAGGGTAGTTAAAAGTTACATGAATGTGAATAACTTTTAAGCAAGTGGCAACTTCTGATAAGTGTAGAGAAAGTGGGTGGGGGAATATGTTAATTTGTTTATGTCATCATCAGGAATGAAAAAATTATCCATATTAGCAAGCTTATAAGCACTAGTACCAAAAGTGTTTAACCAATCAAAACATTACCTCTAGTAGGTGACATAGCAGTGATTTAAACAAAAGATCAAAGCATTCTTACTCTAATGATCAAAGATACCTACAAAAACAAAGAAAGCTCCTTTGAAGCTCTGAGCCCATTAAGCAAAGGGTGTAGTCTACGTATAGCGAACGCTTCTTTAAACAATAGGATAGACCAGTTTCGGGAGCTGTCAATAATGTTAGTACTAGAAAATATTAAACCTAATTTATTACTTACATTACAGACGACATTATCATTTTCAAGTATACCCTGTAGTCCTAAAACATATTGGAATGCCTCACAGTTTTTAACATGATCAAATATAACACTATCAGATCGTGAAGAATGTTCTTTAAGTCTAGTTATTAAGCATCTATCTGTCTTACCAATATAATCACTATTGCAACTTAATAGTACCTGATTCAATAAGTTTAGGAACAATAGACTCTTCTAGTTCAGTCATTAAAATATTAGCTAAAACTGGGCCAAGAGGCGAACCTATTGAGACACCATCAGTTTGTTTATAAAATTCATTATTACATGTAAATACAGTTTTAGTACAGCAATCTCTAAGTAGCTTCCTTAACGAATTTTTCTTAAGGTTAGTAGATATCAGTTTCTTATTGTAAACTCTATCAAGAATTATATTAATTACCTTAGTAAGGGGAACATTTGTAAACAGAGATTCAACATCAAAAGATAAAAAACGGTAACCTAAATTATATAAATTGTTTGGTATAGCTTGAATGCGGTCAGCAGCATCAAAAGAATTTTTAAGGACAAAGTCATTAACCGTTAGAGGGCCTAATAAGTTTGATAAGTACTAGCTACTGAATAATAACAAGTACCGGTCGTGTCAATAATAGGTCTTAGGGGTGGAATATTATCAAAATCTTTATGTAATTTAGGTAGTCCATGGGCTCTAGCAGGCATGGTTGATACTGGACGAATTTCTTTGTATTCAGTTTCAGTTAGTTCATTTCTATTAAATAGTGTCCGGAGGTAGGCTTGTAAGGAGTTAAGCTGCGTAGTTAATGAACAGTTAGATAGTTTCTTAAACTTAGTTGAATCAGAGAACAAGTTTGTCATAAATGTGATATAATCAGTTTTCTTCATTATCGCAACACCATTTCCTTTATTTGGTTTAAGAATTACATACTTATTACGTAAGATTTTTAAAGTATTAATACGTTTGGCATCATAATTTAAATTTCGGTTATCAAAGTCAAGAAAGTTACACGTCATAGCACGAATTGAGTTCTTAATTTTCTCACGTTTAATAAATGATTTAGGTAGAGCATCAGCATTATTAAGTTGTTCCCAAATTGATTCAGCATAAACAAACATATCAGAGTCCTTAGGTCGTGTAGCTAATCCATTACGGATACCAAATGTTAAGACAGATTCTTCTTCCTTAGATAATGTTTCGCCAGTTAAGTTAGTAATTATATGGTTAGGATTCTTACACGTTCCATTGATTATTGCATGTTCACGTAGAAGGTTGTTAAATTTACGTCCATGGCGGTAAGATACCTTACGCATTTCCTTATCTACAGTAGTCCTAACATGATGCTTAATTACTAAGGCACGTAACCATGTAGTAGACTTAACGAGAGCTTCGTCAGAGACTGAAACTAGGAATGATAAACTAGGTTAAAATAGTCCTAGATGTTTTTGTCGAAATTGGACGATTTTTTTAGCCTGCTGTTTTCCGGTTGTTTTGTGTTCTGCACCTTAGGTTGCGTTCAGTGGCGCCATATGGATTATGTGAATGGAAGCATCACCACAAAACAGCTTGGTAAAAATAACTCCGTTTTGATTAAAAAAAAAAAAAAGCACAAATAACTCCTTTTTAATTTTTAGTTTCAGCATGTTCAACATCCAGATAGCGAGTTCTGTTTTAAATCGATTTTAAGGAGCGTTTGTTGACAATACCGGGTACAAAAATATTTTTAATAAAGACACATACAATTTTAGTTTCAATGTAGGGCCTACATTATGTTTAATTTGAGCACCCGAACTATGTGCACAAGCATTTCATTACTTAAACAAACAAAACATGAATAGGCATACTGATTAATGTTTAGTGGCGCGCCAGTGAATTAAGTATTAATGTAAATACTGTCTAATGACTCAAGTTTAAACTGCATGACCGTTTATATATTTTTATAAAACTAATTTCATCTAATTTTAAATAGATTTTCTCCTGAATTTGTGACAATTCCTTATCGCCCATATCCTGTGCTAAATGCATGACAAATTTATGATCACACATGTGTTTCTGCAAAATGCGTGTTTGAACCAAAATCACTTTGAAATGCAGGACCGTCCCGCACGATGCGAGACGGTTGGTAACCGTTACCAACCGTTCGGCAGATTAGGTTTTTCGTTTATCATTCATTTAGATTAAAGCCAAGCTACATTCGGCAGATAGGCTTTTAGTTTATCATTCCATCGAGATCATGCCTACATTCGGCAGATTTAACCTTTTCGTTTATCATTCAATTGAGATCATGGCTTATAAGGCCAATGCACACATTAACAAATACATAAATTGCGTTGTGTTTTGTGACGAGTAAAGCGACTCACTATTCACTGATCTCGGACCCCCCCCCCCCACACCACACTGGTTACGGGCCTGCTACATATATACAATAATATTACACTTTATTAAGTTAATTTGAATTATTTTAAAGAGTAGTTAGATTTGCATTATTGAATATAGGTTGTAAAAACATGGCCTACGACTATTAGTATGTCATTACTCAACAACAAATTAATCATATCCAAAAGAAAAAAATCAAGACATTTTTTTATTGGGTGGAGAATAAATTTTTCCGATCATATAAAGGCACGCAGGCTTGTACAAATACAGTATGGCATATTATCTCCACTTACCTATATTATGTACATTTTCCTAATTTAGAAGAAACACCATTGCAAAATTCATTAGAAGATGTTTGGCGACGATGCAGACGGTTCACAATTCAGTAGTTCCTCAATTTGGATGTTATCAGGCAGGTGCACAACCCAAGATCTGAACGAAAATCGCTGCCAATCGAGGATGTAGTGCCCTACCAGGCTAAACCTAAATAATTATTAGTTCAGCGCTCACCCCCTTTCATTGAAAATTTGCCGAGATTGTTTTATTTGAAATTTGCCGTGACACTTATGGGCCACCGTAATAAACAGTACGGTAAAAAAAAAGGATCGAACCCGTCGCGAACTACGACGTAGTCATAAAATAACGGCTGTCCCTCCACAGACTACACGACTGGACTGACAACATGAGCTGTTGTGTGACGTCGACGGCAACTTCCGCGACGAAAGTGAAGCATCTTTTCACAAAGAACGTTTTGCTAGGAAGTTAACCAGTCATTTGTATATAATATATCCACTTTTCATACCCCGGGAGCAATGGATCCTCCCCCACAATATGAACAGGTATTTTGTACATAAATATTAGTTATTAACGAACTCAAATATGAATCTATTGTAGGCATTTTTTTGTTTTCATTTGAATGTTTTGATTCGAAATTGATCAGGTCTAGGCCTAGGCCTATGTAGACTAAAGTAGAAGAGGCCTAGGCCTACCTAGCCTATTCTATAGCCTATCCATCCCTGATCCTCGATGAAATATACGTTTCAGGAAGAGTTGATGGACCGTCCGAGGAATTGTAGGCCTTTGTGGTTGTGAATAAGAAACAAGGGACAGGTACTGTTTGATAAGGCCTAGCCTTTACTCTAGGCTAGGCTTAGTCTAGTCTCTAGAGTAGACTAAAGTAGTCAGGTCATCGGTAGCATTTATTTATTGACATCTGCCAACACAAGTTACTCAAGTTACAAGGACATAGACGATTGTAAAGTGCAACGTTTGTAAATTAAACTTCTGATGTAGCCTAAAGATAGATTAATTCTATCTGGATTTTTATCTTGCATTTTACTCCAGTCTGAAGAAATTATTAGGCCTATTTCTTTTTGGATGTCATTTGTGCAGGTTTGTAGGGAAGATAACCTGAGCTCAGGACAAGTGATGCTGGCGCTTGTGGTCCCTCCAGATGGTACCGGCAAACAAGAAGTTCCCCCAGAAACAGAAGGTAAAATTACACCTTTATGAAACTTTATATTGCATGCTTGGTATTAACAATAATTAATAATGATAAAAATAATTAAATAATTAGTAATAACCTTAAAGAATAATAAATAATTGTTTAGGCCTATTATGAGTTGTATACCGATGGGAAATGTTTGGAATTAAATCATCATCATCATCATCATCATCATCATTACCTTGTTTGTTTGTTTAATTTATTTCTCCACACACATGAACATATGAACATACTTAACAAAAAAGCAAGGAGGTATTAAATAAGCTTATTTAATACCTCCTTGACAAAAGCTAGCCACTACACAATGTATCCATCCCGTTGTATGATCTGTCTGTTGCTGCCTCTCCCCACCATTTGAATTTGATACGTTTTGAGATCATCTCAATCTAAGCCTTGGTCTGCCTCTATTTCATATGCTTTGTTGTGGTCACAACTCTGTTGTTCTTTTGACCCATCGATTATCATGTAATGTTGCTACATGACCTGCTCATCTCCACTTGTAATAGATCTCTAATACCCATTTCACACTGATGCTATTTTGCAAATATTAACAACTTGTAACAAGTTGTAACCAGGTTTGGATGAGTTTGAAAGCAAATCCTTGTAAAACTTTCCGAGATTTCACAGGGGTCCCCTGAGTTATCTCGGAACAAAAACAGACCATCACGAGGCCTGTTTTTTTCCCGAAATCTTCTGAGTAGTTGTTGCGCATGCGTCATGTCCATATTTTGACCTTTTCGCGGGCTGTGTTTTTTTTTTTATTTTTTAGTTCGAACGAATGGCGGCAGCGATGGAAAACGTATCAACATTACTACCATTTGTTAATAGGCCTAGACCTAAAATCAAAAGAAATCTCGCTAAATTTCACATGTCAAACAATCACGAGGCTTCGTAAAATATGCCGACAACGAATTATTATGATGCTTGTCGCACTGATTGCCTCTAACAACAATGGTGAGCTACCGGCCGGCGGCCCGACTGCGCCTAGCTAGCCTAGGCCTATCTTTCTCGCCAGCTCGACTACAGCAAGCGAGCTAGGAGTTGAATTCATTTTACTCTCCGAAGGCTAAGGACCATGGAATAATTATAATCTTGTTAATTCGGTACCAGGCCTAGTTTAGTAGTTGGTATGTAATTCGGACAACCTACAACAAGCCTACTACTAGTCTAGGCCTAGTCATTATTCTTCCGAGTTTTCCCGAGATTTCTCATGGTTTGAAAGTGCATGTGTGAAACAAACCAACAATCTCGGAATATCAAACTTGTTGCAACTTGTTAATAATTGTTAAAATGAATTTATACAATGACAATATTTGAGATTTAAATTATCTTTCGATTTATCTTCAGACACAATAGGGTATGTACAAATTCCTGGTGATGCACCACCACCGTATGATGAGGAAGACAAACGCAGAATGGAGCTTAAAAAAAAGGATGAAGAAATACGCAAGCGACTTGTAGAATTGGGGCTTCTGTCTGTAAGTTGGGACGAATGGGAAGCAAAATATTTTTGGGAAAAAGGTCGGAATGATGTATACTATATCCTTGGGATTTCTCGCCGAGACCCACTAGCTGTCTCAAGTAACATGGTTACTCCTGATTAAAGCTAGACTGTCCAGTTTTATGCAATAAATATGTGTGATTTGCCCATATGCATAGTAATATCACATCAACCCATATAATGTGGCATAATATTTGTATTATCTCGTGGTGTACTGCCCAAGACCACCAGAGGACCCCAATGTAAATAAATCTTCAGTCTTTCATGGGTTTTCCTTGGTGTTTTCAGCAAATAAATTCAACCAAACAATCTAAAGAATCATATGAATGAAGAACATATATTGTTTTGTTATTTGTTATTGGCAAGTAAAACATTCATGGAATTGCATAGGCTAATGACCATCATGCTCTGCGCGTGCCAGGCTGTAGCCGAGGCTTTTTTCATTCCTTGTTTCCCAAACTTATATTTTTAAGGATCGTCAGAGGAGGGCGGAAAAATATGAAAATAGCAATATATTTTCTATTATTTTAGCAAATAGTTTTGCCAAAAGCATCCAGATGGAGGAGAAAATAAAAATAAAATTTTGTTGGTGAATGTAAACAATGGGGTAGTAATAGGATGGTTAAATGCTTAAAATTTATATAATTAGGAAGAAATATACATCTTATTTTTGAGAAATTTCAAGGTAGCAGCAGGCATAATAAAAATTTTAAGAACTTTTATTTTTTTAATGAAATTTCCAATTTTTGTGGTGGTGGGTGCGCTAATTGGCCAAAAATATATATATTTTAAAATATACGAAATCATCATTATTGGTGGATGACGGGTTTGCTAAACAAGGTATATGAAAAGTATCTTGCCTTAGGAATGAAGTACCAGTGTCCTACCCAGACCCCTTGAAGAATTGCACCATCTTGACCCTCGACCCTTAATGTGTGTCAACACTATCAAATTTTCTTGACAAATATCTGTGTCCTTTTTGTTTCATTATATCTATCTATCCCAATTATTTGTCACTGAAACCTTGTTAGTATGGACAAGAACTAAAGCAACATATCATTTGCATACATTATATTTTAATTTTCAGGAGAATGATTTCGGAAGCGACTCTGAGATTCTGCTCGGCAGCGGGTGGGTGTTTTTCTGGGCGGCTATGAGTAAGTATCAACCAATCACAGAAGACGGTGTACATTTGGCCCTTATGGATTGTAGGCCCCTATACAGTATTAATGCTTTCATGTTCATGCAAATCATGATTTCTTTTTCATTTTAACAGTTTTTTTCACTTATGTGGCAGAAAAAGCAGTTGCTTCTATGTGCTTTCAAACCACTTATTCCAAAAGGACAAAAATAGACTAAAGGAATAACATTTGTTAGATAATGTACAATTGATGTTCTTGTAGTGCGCAATGAGTGACATCAACGGATACCGGCGCATTATAATGTCCGTTTATTATTAATAAAATAAACATGTACGAAAGTATAATACATACTCCAAGTATTGAAATACACGCCATCGTGTTGGGATTCAATATTTCAACATTAATTATATCATCATCAGGAATGAAAAAATTATCCATATTAGCAAGCTTATATGCAATAGTACCAAAAGTGTTTAACCAATCAAAACATTACCTCTAGTAGGTGACTTAAACAAAAGATCAAAGCATTCTTACTCAACTGATCAAAGATACCTACAAAAACAAAGAAAGCTCTTTTGAAGCTCTGAGGCCATTGTTAAGCAAAGGGTGTAGTCTACTTATAGCAAACACTTTTTTAAACAATAGGATAGACCAGTTTCGGGAGCTGTCAATAATATTACTACTATAAAATATTAAACCTAATTTATTACTTACATTACAGACGACATTATCATTTTTAAGTATACCCTGTAATCCTAAAACATATTGGAATGCCTCACAGTTTTTAACATGATCAAATATAACACTATCAGATCGTGAAGAATGTTC